GCTGACCGTACAGAGAAAAGAAACAGGTCGGCACTTCTCCTCATCCCACCGGATCCTCAGAGCTTTAACTCACAGATCGATCGCTCTGCTGGGAAAAGCTCTGCATAGTTTCACAAAAATATAAAACTAGCATCTTTTGGGGGAAAAAAAATGTTTATACAAGGTCTTGTTTTCTCACTACTACAATGGCAGATAACAAAATAAAAACAACAATTTTATGCTAAATTACCAAGCCTACGTTTTTATTCACACACAGACCTATTTTGAAAAAAATATTTAAAACCTTGACCATAATTTGATGTTGTTGGAAGGCCCAATTCTGTCCCATTTGACCCCCATTATCATATTGACCAACACAAAGTAATTGTGCAGTTATAGGAACTTGGGGGAAAGTAATAGTTTTAATGCTAAGTTTGTGCTGATGATTTCTTCCCATTGGAGTTGAGAGAAGGAGGTAAATACAGAATAATCCCAGAAGAAAACCAGTCAAAACTTGAGTGACGTTGAGGTTCACTTTTCAGAAGGACAAGCTGGTCCAACCATGCAATCAGAGTTTCAATGGAACGGTTCATGTAAATCAAAGCATATTCATAGGTCAGAATGACCCAGTGGGGGGGGCAAGACTTAAAAATGTTTTGTTCATATATGCTCTCCTGCTAATCTGACTGAAGTTGAGCTAAGAATGGCAACAATATTAGTCTCTAGATGTGCAAAGCTGGTATGTACATACATTACTCACAAAGAATTGCTGCTGTAATTGCTGTGAAAAGGTGATTTTACTGACCTTTGTTGCCTCACAGCCAGAGCTCCATTGGCTCTCTGAGTTGGGGTCTTTCTCAGAAAAGTTGCATGTTCTTACTATCTACTGTACATGTTTTTTTTTTACCCCATTCTGCAGCTAGATTTCTGAATTAAACATTATGTAAATTAGGGTAATCTAATCTAAATGGGTGTATGCATGCATGGTTTATGATGTATGCTAGCTTGTAATTGGATGGTGAGCTATCCAAGAGCAATGACTGCTAGCACAGCTTCCCTCAAACTAGAGTATCCCAACAGCCCACAACCATAAAATGTTTCCTCTGTGCTGCAGGAAGGAGGGATTTGTTAATGCAGACATTATCATTGGCCTTTGACTGACCTTTTAAATGTAGTAATTTACTACAAAAGTCCCTATTTCCTCAGCGCTCCTCGTTAACTGTAACAGTTGTAGATTTAGAAGAGCTCGCAGGCTAAATCATAAACGTCCTGCGTTCTGAGGGGAGTATTCAGTCCTGGTTGGACGATGCGCTCCTCATCAGATATGAGCTGCTCCTTATTAGGATCGGAGATCTGCTAACCCTCTTCAGCTCCTTGGCCAGCATTAAGCCTACTGTTCTGACCATTTATTACCTTTTAACATTGAACTGAGGCTATGCGCCTACGCCGAGCTACTACTGTGCACAACAACAAGTCATTAAGGCCGGTCCATTCAAACTGTGTCATTATGCTGAAATTCTAAGTGGCAGTAATAGGTAGGCTCTGGGTTGTTAGTTGGAGTGTTTCACGTAATTCACTGCTTGCTGGTGCCACTGTTAGAACAGCATCCTGCTTTTATTCTCTCTTCTCTTTAGCTTGCTCAGGTTCTCAATAGAGTGCAGCCTCATGCCCTGCTTAAAAGCCAACATGAGGTGTTTTTCTCAGATATCTTTAGTTTGTTTCCAACCAAATCTACCTGGAGTGTTTGTTGGTCAAAAGCTCTCAGCCCTATTCGGCCAAAGCACATTACTGCAGCAGTAGGACGACAGCAGTCTTCACACTATCATGTTCTTGATTTGAGGATGGCAGTGTGCCGAAAGTAGAGTGTGCCAACAGATTTGTTTGTATGTTCACATATCGCTAATCTTCTACCATCAATAAAAGAATCTCAATCAGAATTAGAGCTTTTATATTTCCTAAAACATGGGCAGTAATTTGCTCGTGTCCACACTAAGATTTTTTTTTCCAAACTAAGATTTGTCTTTTGAATTTCCACCTTGTGTCCACATGCAGTCAGAATATCTGGTGAATGAATTTAGATTTTTAATAAAAATCTGTTAATGTGTTTACATGCCAACTTGGATATCAGGAGATATTTAAAAAAAAAAAAAAGATTCAAAAGGTCATAGGCCCATTTAGGACAAGCCAACACCAACTGTAGGGCATTTTTTATTCTATATTTCACACTTGCCTCATTTATTCCTGATTCTGTTTCCAATTAACATCATTGTAAGATGAAGAAGTTTAGCAAGTGTAAAGAGAATCAAGCTACAGCTGTTTTTGGACAATCGTTGCCTAGAACTACTTTGGCCATGCTGTCCATCTTCTTCCTTTGAATTTAAATGTAGCTGGACTTGAAGTTATCACCAAGCCGTATCTATGCAAAGCCTTTCTGTACCAGCATAGGTATTCCTATTTAGAAATACTGAGAAAAATATTGTTTCTAAAAAAAAGTCTGGACCGGGTGCTTAAATTTAAAGGTAAGTGATGGATAAAAGTCGACCAGAAGAAATTCCCACATACCAGTTCAAAATCATGGTTAACAGTTCTGGTTAGTTTTTAATGTGCTCAGCCTCTGTGGTAGGACGTAAAGCCGACTGGCTCCGTTTCACAGAAAGCTCTACAACTCTGCTTTTATGACTGGAATAAAGAGCAAACTGTACCCAGCTTTTCTTCTTAACACATCAGAACATCAACTCGGCTCGTAAGTGCTTCTTGAGCCTCAGAGTAGCTTTAGTACAAGAATACAGCAAGTTATACCCCCACTTGAGATCTACAATCCGAAGGTAAGCCTTTACGAGCCCAGAGGACAGTTTACAGTGTTTAAGAGCTGGAGAACAAAAACTGACTGAAGCCACACCGTTTCCTGAGCCGTTAAAGAACCGCAACTGGTGAAATTAAGTTATCCAGCGGCTTCAAAATGTAAATACATTCTTAATTTTTAAGTAAAGTCCTAGCTGCTTTCTCTAGCAAAAACAAAACAACACTTTTTGTGTCTGTTTTTGTTTATCTGCGTACGTATCGGCGGCTGGGGCTCCGACAGACGGACTTTAATCTCGAATTTCACACGGCCGAGGGAAAAAAAAAACATCAAAGCGGAACAGCCTGGAGGATGGAAGCAGAGAGAGAAGAAGAAGAAAAGCCCGAAGACGTAAAGAAACGGCAGCATTTACATGAGGAGAGGACCGCATCCAAGACGGCGGCGGCGGGCGGAGGGAGAACATGCAATATTTAAAAGGTTGGAGAAGAGGCAGCTTCAGCTACACAAACTCATTTGATCTGCAACTATTATTCCAAGGGCGTATCAAGGTAAATAATATCAATGCAGCAGAGGGGGCTTGAAGGGGGAAAACACATCGACTGCCGTTATATTTAGTGCAGACTTTAAGAACTGTCAGAGCCCAATAATTCAACACACAGAAAAAATCTTTATTATTATTATTATTATTATTATTATTATTATTTGCTCCCCATTGTGACACACCGTTATCAGAACAATGTTACTTTTTAATCAGCAGGCATGGAAACTTTATTACTGCTAAAACACATAAACAAGCAAAAATGTATTTTCAAAGCTTAGACAGCTCATTACATGAACAGTTCAGAGATATCTAATCATAGACTTGGCATACAGTTTTATTGTAATAACGTCTCTATTCTGATACATTTATATTCATTTTCTGCACTTTTTTGATTTGATCTGTGGAGAGAAAAAAAAATCTATTTCCCAGAAAAATCAGGAATTGTTCAATGGTATCAAATATGAGCTGGACAGATATCCGTGTTCTGTGCTGCTGCCATTGATCGGGCCTGTTGACTAGAAGTCCCGTAGTGATCGATCCCTCTCAATCTCAGCAGCCACTTTGGAGGTGGCGCATGCTGACCTGTGCTCACGTTAGCACCGGCTTTCAACAAGGATTCACCATCGATTACCCGTGTTTGAATCTCAGCCTGATGAACAGATTTCTGGTTAATTACGGCCCAAAAAGCAGGAGGTGTCTGTTTCAGAGCCTGACTCAAAGGAAAAGTCAAAGAATTAAAATACAGCAGTGGTTTTCTTTGTCTTATCCTGGAACAAAATCTACTCTGACTTGCAGTCTCTCCCTTAATACATATTAAGAATTATCTGAAAACAAAAAATAAAAATTACTAAATGGATTAATGTAGTAATACATTAATCCATTTAGTTATTTTTATTTTATATTTAATGTATGATTATAATCATACATTAATATGCACCCACACAATCCTGTTTGTTGCCATGGTGTGTGATTTGAGAGGTGTTAACCTGGATGAACCTCAACTTTCTATCTTTATGACATAATGATGTAATTTTACAACAACAAAAATCAGAAAAAATTGGCACTTTTAAGGAAATTTTATTTCCCCATGGAAGTAGGACCTTTAAAATGTTCATGTCAGAAAATCTTCAACTTTTGATCATAAGTCAAATATGGCCGCCATGCGTATAATGCACTCTGGCTGAAAGTGCCAAAAATGAATTTTTTTTTTTTTTTGTATTTCTGATGGTTTGGGTCTACTGGCTACAACTATAGTTTAGTATTACATTTATTTACGAACATTAGAGGTGTAACAATACCTAAAACTCACAAGACGAGACACGATATTGCGTTCAAGAGAACAAGACAGAACAAGATGTCTGTCTTTTTATGATTTCTTTTTATCTCTTCAGAACTTGTATGGTTTGCAGAACAACATTTACCACTTACTACTGACAACGTTCTCTGTGATCGTGATGTATCTCCACGTACTGCTAGACGTCCCACCCTTGGCTGTTACGGTGTTGCTTTCTGCTTCCTTCAGTGTCTGAACAACTTGTGGCACTAATATATTGTTCATGTCTTGTCTCAGTGGCGCAAAAAGTGGGTATGCAGCACATGCAACGCATAGGGGCGCTGCACCAGAGGGGGCATCAAAACCCCGTCTGGAGGGGGCGGTGCCCCGATGATGCCTTCGCATACACTTCACCGCGCCCTTACGCTCCTTCACCTCGCGCACATGTAAATGTAAACGTAGCGAGTTTTACCTTTCATGTGTCTTCGTCTCGGGGGGGTCACTCATAACATATGGTCACTCATACGGATAGAGCGACCATATGTTTTCTACACTCCTTCACGGGGCGATTTATGTTTTCGCATCCACCTGAATAATATGTAGTTGTGCCCCTGTCTTGTCTCTCCATCTGTTCCCATTAATCGTTCCTACTGGAAACCTAAAGTTTGGGCAACTTCTACTAAAACATCAGGCGAATGGTTATTGCTAACAAGATAGCATTTACCTTGACGAGAAACACTGTCATGTTTTAATATCATGAGTCTTGTTTCATCCCCAATCAGCATTTTCCATTTGTGTTTAAAACATGAATAAAAACGTAATTTCCTATTGTTTATAAAAGTGAGCTTGGCAACAACTGGAACATGTTGTTTGGGGTATGATGTTGTATGAGTTACAGCTTCAGAGGCTAATACAGCACAATACTATTATGCATGATAATTTTTCATGTGTACACAAACTTAAATGTAGCACGATAAAATAATGACAGATATTTATATCTCTGGAATCAGGGCTGACCTTTTCTGTTGTACAAGTCTAAGGTCAGGAGAAAGGAAGCTTAAATACCTGCAGAGCCCACACATCCTGGACACAAACTGTTTAAACTTTAACCTTCATTTTGGCACTATTTGCAAAAACTAGCAGCCACAGGGACAGTTTCTTCCCCCAGGCTGGCTCTGTGATGAACACAATAAAGACCTTTTGCCCTGACCAGTCCAGCTTTTCAGGTGTCACTTCCTGTTGGGGCAGAGTTTCAGAAAGACCAAGAGTTTCTTAAAGAGACAGAGGCCCAACTTCAAGTCATAGAAATACAAAGTCAAATTTCTTTTAAGTCATTTTTGATACATAAAGCATATCTACAAAAACTGAAGTTAACATTGTTATTTGATTGTGCTATAAAATGGTATTATATGAGTGGAAAATAGATAACACTACCACTTTAATGGTTGAACAGTTTGCTTTTATATAGTTTTATCAGTACATTTTTCAATAATTTGAAGTTATTTGTGATCTAGATATGGCCCAAAATGAAACCCTGCAGTAGAGGAACCTAATGGAACCTAGCAATTGGAGGATTATGTATCTGTTAAATCGAGTCAGATTAATAGTTGGCTATACAGCAATAACACCAGCTGAAGATGGCCCTTTTTAACATCTTACTTCATGTGGCAATGGAGAAGTAAAGATGAGTTCATATCTGACTCACAACCGTAAAGAAAACAAGCAAACACCATCACAACAGGGCAACATCTTCAGCAAAAGTTGTCCCTTATTCACAAGTTCATCACTGCTTTAGCATTTTTGCCTCAGTCTAATTTCATTGCTGAGTTAAGCAGTCTTATGGTCTGTTAGAGACACATTGATTTGTACTCTGGAGCTGAAATTGACTCGTCTTCTAGCCACAGATCACTACATCCTCCTTTGTATGCATTCTTAATCAAATAAGCTGTTCTTTCTCTATTAACTCGGACAAGCTAACTTCAGATAAGCCTGTGTCTTTAAGCCACTTCAGAGTGGGAATCAGCCCCTGGAGGTGATGAGAGTTGACTCCGGCAGGCCGACATGTGAGCTTTGGGTCGCCATGTTATTGTCTGAGGCTGCACCCGGGGCTCCGCCGACAATCGCTTCCTCTAATGGAAAACTATTGTCTGCCTTTGAGAACTTACAAGTGTGTGGAATAGGGATGAGTCCGTCTGGACTTACGGAGCTCTCTCTGTATCGGCGGAAAAGCTATTTCAGAATTGGAATATCCACCGAAGTGGAGCGTGATTAAGCGATGCATCTGGAATGGGGCGCCGTCTTCTGTGAGGACGGGAAGGAGTTTCTAACATTGTGGTGACACACAGTAGAAAGGAAAACAGTTAGCTCTGGCAGCTGAACTTTAGCTCAAAAATATCTAAAACTGTCACAGAAAGGCACTTTTTGAGTTGTTAATTCAATTGGGAACACTGGATTGAAATTATTGACAACAATGAGACGAAAACAGAAAATTCCTTTAGGATGACGACGTTCCTCCCTTGGCATGCTGCATTATTCATGAACTCATCCATCCAGGCAGGCAACAGTTAACGTCTACCATAAAAGGTTCACACATCTTCTCTACTGCAAACAGGAGAGACGGGTTCAGGCTCGCAGTCGATCCAGAACAGTTCTGCGTGTGTGAAGAAGTTACGGAGAGTCAATGATGCTCTGAAAGAATTTTTCTTCTCTGAGTCCCAGAGGACGCTGAAGTCCATTCACAGCTTTTTTTTGCTCTTTTCTCCGGAGAACGATGAGGTGTGATTCATGTGATGTGGCTTCCAACTCTGTTTTCTGCGTCTCCAAACAAGTCGCTTTCCATCTCTTTTTGAAGCCATGAAGTAATGACCACAGTCCACGTTATAAATGTAAAAAAAACAAACGGTCAAGCAAAGATCTTCTGTGGATTTGGACGCCGATTCAATTGGACAATGCTTCTAGAAAGACGCGTCCGTTGTTCTTAATCCTGTAAAGACAAAACAAAGCGAGAGAACGTTGTGAGACATTTTTGTTCATGTTTTTAGCTAATGCAATCAGTCAGGCATTGCATTTCTTCACTTAATGCAAGCGGAGGGTGTCATCTCCACAATGTAAAGAAGTTGGAGACCCTGTTGTGGTTCAGATAACACAGAATGTTCTCACACAGTAATTGCATTTGCACAAAGATGCAGAGAGTCCAGAATCCCCCTGAGGACATTGTGGAAATCTACGGTGGGGGGTGGGGGGGATGAAGGTCGAGCTTCGGAAGGATTTCAAAAGTTGTGGGAAAATATTTCTAAGCTTTAAACATCCATTTGGAAAATGCCAGGTCGCCTCAAAGTCACATTAATATTTGATTTGTTGTATTTATCACTCTTAAGGTTGCTAAATGGAATATATCACTGTATTAGATCCTTATCTGTGATGTTTTATAAACATACTTTAAACTGTTTATGGAAAAAGAAAATAAAAATCCTCCCTTATTTCCTTGATTAAACTCCATATAGTTTATATTAAATGTCTGGGTGATGGTTGAAGTTGTAGCTCATTTCATCTCTGAAACTTTTAAAGGAGTCTTACTTTGAAGATCAAAACATTATTTTTTTTGCCTTCATTTCACACCAATTTAACTTGCAGTACATCATCAAAAGAAGTTAACACGAAGTGCACAGGAACAAAATGTCCGTGGACTCGCTCCAACGTGCATCCTGTTTAAATTCCAAAGAACTGCCTCGATTTTCTCCATAGTAAGTCTTTAAAGGGACAGTTTGGATATTTTGAATTGAGGTCCATCAAAGTTAGTATCAATAAAAGCTTACATGTAGAAGAACAGATGTCATTTCTATGTCAAAATTTGTAGAATTGAAAGCAATTCAGACTGAATATGATACATCAGTGTATTTCTGAATATTAACTGTCTGCACTTTCATATGAGACGCTCGCTCAGTTTGTTGCTACTTTCTCATCCAAACCATGTTCATATCTCTGCTCTAAAGTTACAATGCGTGAGGCTGTCGACTGCAGCTATGGACGATGTTCAGCTCATCCAACATTATGTGAATGTGCAAATATTTATTATCTGCTAATATGACACTGCATCCCATGGAGGTGATCATCTGATCAGCTCAGGTTTCTTTCTTTAGAGATGCACCGATCTGATATTGATATCTGTATCAGTCCTGATATTTAAAAAAAATTCTCGATTATGTATTGGTGGCAACGTCCATTCAGTCTAATTGTAAACTTTGTGCTCTGAGTTACGTAATGCTTTATTATTTATTTTACATTACATTTAGTATTCCTAGTAGCACTTTCTGAATCATTTGAAAGATGTTTGTTGCAGTTTATTTTTTACACCTTTAACCAAAGAAGTCATCCTATTGTCTTTAGTTTCAACTTTATTTATTGTAAGTTGGCTGTTCTACTACTAATTGCACAGACAACAAATGAAAGTTGTTTTTGCATGTTTGACCAAGCTTGTGAAGCTACTGGTGTGTTTACATGTGCTGTACTGGTGCTGAGTTACTAAAAACATTTATCATTCCGTACATTTATGACTGTGTTCAAAAATAAAACATTTTAAATCAATTCAACTGTTTTCTGTATCAGATCTATATCGGTTTATACTAAACCTCAAATATCGGTATCGAAAGTGAAAAAAGTGATTGGTGCATCCATAGTTTTTTTTAAAATCATTTTTCTGCTGACTGGTCAGAAATAAAGGATAGCTCTGTAACCAAATAGGGAACTACTGAGGACGGTAAGCTCACAGAACCTTCTTTTACCAATGGGTAATTCATTTGATTTATTTATTTTTTCTTTTCATACTGTAACACAGAGAGACTGTGCTAGGTTAGCTAAAAGGTGTAATATCACCAGAGTTTATACCAGCCCAAACCCACACATGATGCACAGTGCAGCCTGCAACACACCTTCAGCAGTAGGAACGTGTTTGGACAGACAGCGGTGTTCAGCTGTGACCTCAGCCTGAAGGAAAAACATAAACACCATGAGCAATATCGTTTTCAGCCAACATCAGAAAATATAAGCCATGTTTTTAGTCCAGTTAACGAAACATTGCGTGTTTTATTAAAATCTTAGAACAAAATGATTTCACAGTTTGTTGAGATATTAAAACTATTTAACATTTTTTAGCTTTGTTTTTTTTTCAGAAATCTAATTAATTCTAGCTTCGTGGCTGGATTACGAACTTCAAAGTTACAGGAAAACATTTCATTGATGTTTAGAATTTGTTTATGAGTAACTATGTTGAGGGGGGTGAGGTTAAACTGCGTTAGGGTGTTTACCTTGTGGGGCGGCGGTCTTTTTAAACAGCTACTGCCGTCCTCTCTCTGCGGAGGTCAGCTGGGGTTCAATTTAACGTGCGGGGTAAAGGCAGGATCTTTAAAGCGACTGGGAGAGGGTCACATGAGCAGGAAGAGCAAAAACAGGAAGACAAGAAAGAGAGAGAACTCTACCCCACCAATCCTCCATTTTTTTTTTATGCTGAAGCCAACGTGGCAGGTCGGGCAGGCTTTAGATGAGCCGTGTCTGTCGGGGAGTAAACACTCAGAGACGTTATTGTGTGTTTACTGATGATGCGTGACGCGATCAGGTGCATCAAATCGTATCAGCAAATACGAGTTTCAAGAGTTGTTATCGCTTAAATCCTCTGCGTCTCGGTGGGAGACGGCGCTATGAAAATGTTTGAATCCAAATTGGTGCAAAACGTTATCAGATGACCAAGACCGTCTGCAAGGTCGCCAGCGGCCATTTTGTATTTGTTTGGACTTCTGGTCATGCCATCTTGATATTTGTGTTAAATTCAAAATCTGTAACATATGACGGTTTAAGCTCTTGTAATGTTATCAAGGTGTAAAAGATCCGCTTAGTTCATTTTGAGCTTTTCTGTGGAGCAAATGTTTCAAACATCAGGGGGTTTCATTGGGTTTAGTTTAAATTATAAAGCGCATTTAGCAGTGTGTAATTATTCTCCTCAACACAAAGGTTTTCTTTCAAAATGTTTATTAGCATCAACAAAGAAAGAATTATTAAAGGGCTTACATAAGCTCACAATCCATAGAGTTGAACATATCTCCAGAAGGATAGGGGGAAAGGTGGGTGATGAGATTGAAACTCAAAAACAAGTGTGGAGAAAGGTAACGGTAAAGTTCTGGTCAAAAGTTTACACACACCGATTACGTAAATGAATGTCATAATTGTCATTACTTTTGCCTGCTCTTTTTGTCCAGTTGTAATGAGGATAGCTGCAACTTCACTGAGTTTTGAGAAGGATTGGGAGCACAAATATAAATTTCCCTCATCCACGTGTGATTAAAGTTACCCATAAAAGCTTAATTATATCCATACACTCCCATTAGATTTGGTTAAATGTGTCATAGCAAGTGGAAGAGAAACTACACAGTTTTGTGTCCAAGCTTCTGGCATAATTCTGCCTAAACTGGTTGAATTCATTCTGATTACCGCCATTGCCCCGCCCTGCCCTGGCCTTTAAGCACATTTCATAAATCACCTTCAATGTGGGAAAGGTTGGGGCCAATACAAAGCTTAATAGCTGTTTGGGTCATTGTCCTGTTCCAACAACCAACTATGACCAAGTTTCAAGCATGTAGCAGCCGAGTTGAAACTGAAGAACTTGTCAGTTGTGTTTAGCCGTCATTATTCCACATAGTCTGTACAACAGTTTGTAAAGTTTTCTTTGTTTTGAATGAATCACATTGACTCTTCCAAAAATAGTTCTTGTTATTAATCATGAAACATTTCTCCAGACAGCCTTTGTCTTGTCCATATGGCCAACTGTGAAGTGATTCTTCTAAGTTAATGATAGAATTGCCTTTATTGTGGACATTAAGATTCCATCACATACTACATTATTGGCTTCATAATGTTCTTGAACATCCAAATTAACATTCTTCCATCTGACAGGAGCTGCTTGGATCAAACTTAGACACGCTGTTGGTTCAGTATTACTTATTAAGATATAGGGTGCATTCAAACTAGCTCTGATTAATCTGCATTAATCTAATTCTAGTTTGTTTGCCTAGAAAGTCGGGTTCATTTGGGAAGGTGGGAATGCGTAATTGAACTCTGATGTGGACCAAAAAAAGCAAACAAACTCAAGTCTTCCTACAAACCCAGGTCTCTGTTTGGTTTGAATGCATGTGTGAATACCAAGTGAACCAAAGACTGCTTCAAAAGCAGGAAGTGGACTATGACACAGGGCATTCTGGGTAAATACAACCAAAACAAATGTGTGAGTCTAACGCTTGAGGGAGAAATGGTTTGTGTTCTTTTGCCAAAGACGAAAGAGAAACCCTACGACCATTAAAATCTCCTGCCACTCCATTTTTGTTTACATTTCTTGAAGAAAGCAGTTGCACTCGGTGTCTTCTTCAGAGCTTTTCATGTCATTTGCCTCAGTGGTTCTCGGTGCAGTGCCACCACAGGCGAGGAGGGGACCAGGTTTTTCAATTGGTTTGGATTGTTTGACACAGAGCAGTGTGAAAGAAAATATCATCAGCTGAAAATGGAACAAATGTTGCAACTTTGGTCCCCAATCAAGACAAATCTACCGGTCTATTGGGTGTTTTGCTGAATCAAATCTCACAGAGTCGATCAGCACAGCAGAACAAATCTCCAAAAGTCAGGAAATTACACAAACCTTTTTGCAGTTTACTAATCAGATCTTGGTATTGTGAACATAAGATATTGTACAAAGAGTCTGAACTGTTCTTGTTTACTACATAGACAATATCTGTTGTCAGGAGTCAGTACCTGTAATTAGGTTTTAGACATTAGCTGAGCTGAGAATGTTCTTGTGCCTTGTGAAGAAAACAAATCTTACAATTTTGTTTGTTTGATTTTTTTTGTTTTTCTTGCACAACATCATGTTCCAGCAGGACAATGAACCCAAACACACATCAAAACATATTTTGGAGCTGATAAAGCAGGCTAACATGTCCCTGACCTTTCCCTATTCAAGATTTGCGGACTGTGCTTGAAAGCCAGGTCAGTCCCAAGAAACCTATCAAGTTTTTTCTTTTCTTTTTTTTGAGGCACTAATGACCTTTACTTGTAGTAATCAAACACGAAATGGACAGAGAGAGAAAGGGAAGAAGACATGCAGTAAAGGTCACAAGGTCAGCCGGTGTATATGGGCACCCAGTGCACCACTTCCTCATGTGCCAGAAACAAGTTCAGGCAGAATCTAAATCTAAATGTAACCAAATTACAGGAAGTATTTGTAACCATTTGAGCCTGGTTGTATAACCTTTGATCTAGTTTGGAGTAAATCCATTAACAAACTCAAATTTTTGCATCCTCAAAATCATGTTGTATTCTCATTACACCTCGAAAAAAAGACTGATTCAAATTCATCATAGTTTAGGACTTTCATGCCTAAGATGAGGGAATGTAAACCTTTTACCAGCACTGTATCACGTTTCATATTCTCTAAAAGCATAAAAACGAGGAGCATCACAAATGCTCAGCAGGAGCATCTGAAAAGAAAGGCAGACATTTGAAAGCTCCCAAAGCGTTTGGCAGCTATGGTGGATCAGCGTACAGAAAGCAGGCGCAGCTATTTCTGAATGGACTTAAGGAGATGTTTGGGGGCAAAACCAATGATCACAACTACACAGGCTTCTTTTAACAGCTGGTAACGTCCACAGTTGCACACCATGCTTCTATAAGCCCTTTAACACTAACTGGACTGTTATTTTACATTAAAAAAAGAGGAAGAAACAGCAATACAATGTGTATACAGAATGACTTATCTCTTCTTTTTTTTCAGTTTGCAAATGTTTCATTTACAAGGGACACAAAGTTAACCAATTATCCTTCAGGAGAAAGTATCTACAGTACTGCACTTTCCTAGAAACTAATCTACTAACATTTCAGAGGTCTAAAGAATAGAGGGTGATAAATTAAGTTGCACTGGCAGCTGTGTGGAAGCATTGTATCCAACAGCTTACAGTGGCGTGGCTCACTAATCATTACCAAGTAAAATAACCTGATACAATGTCATTCTTCACAATCACATAGCTGAGAGAGAAACTTAATGTACTATGGAGTCTTTTTTTCCTTTTTAGCCTTAACTTTCTGTCGATTCTACTACAGAGAGCTTACCTAAACTGCTTTGCGATTTTTTCCTTTTCCAAATCAAGAGTATGATTTTCATGTTATAATACTTTCAGTTCAGAGTTTTGTTTGTGTGTTATGTCGCGGATTCGGGTTTTCAATTCTAAAAAGATGGGAACGTCCATAAAAAAATCCATTACTTGGGTTGAAACCACCATGGGGCCTTGGGGGGGTGCGGCTTGTAAAAACAGTTCAGTATCTGGAGTATGGCTGATCCCTGTAAGCTCCCTTGGCCGTCCGAACCGACGGAGCCTTGCCGCGACTGTTTGCCCACTCTTCCTGGCCTGATCAGGGGAGAACACAGGATAAACAGATGGAGAGTGATTAGAGGCGATACACTTTAATTGAAGCGACACATGCAGACGCAGCAAATACTTCCTAAATATTTTTCCATGTAAAAATTCTGTACAATGCAAAAAAACACAATCTAACCAAGAATCTACTTTCTAGTGATATACTTGAAATCAGACAAATGTCACATTTTTCCTCCCTACTAAATAATTAAATCAGATGAAAAACTTTTCCAAACTTTCCCTGACCGTATCGGAGGTGTTCAGTAAACATTCTCCCTCTGCTGACGTTGAAGCAGGAATTTGGATCTGCCTGTAAAAACAAAAAGCTCCCGCTCCGTCAGAGCTTTCACCTGGAAGAATCCATCCAGGTTAATTGAATGTGAGGATCAAATGGCTACTTGAAAAGGGCCCGTTTAGCAACTCCCAGAGAAAAAGGTCACAATTACCATTAGCTCAAATCAGGTCTTGCTCACCCCCCCTGCTAGCATCAATGTGAAAGTGCTGCTATTGACGGCACCCTTTGTCTGATCTCCAGCCAGCGCTGAGACTTCCCCGGAGCTGAAGCTAACAAAGGCTGCTTCTCTCTTTTTCTTTTTTCCCCCCAGTGTGGAGGCTCTCTGTTGCCAGCACATAGCCAATACCCCTTAATTAAACCTGTCACCCTTCCACTGACACTCACTTTGAAGAAACACACCAAGGTAACCTTGTGTTTTGAGAACAAGAAAGCCTGTCAGTGTTGTTTATCTGCTTTCTCTGAGCTGTTGCCTTCCAGTCTGTGTGACCCGCGCAGCATGATGATGATTATTATTATTATCATTATTAGCGTTTCATGTTCGCAGGTCGGCATCAGTCTAATAAGTGGAGGGTGCTTGTTCTTTCACTGGCACAGTCAGAAAAGTTTAGAAAGTTTTAATGGCTTTGACTTGCCTCTGACAGCACGTTCGTGGAATAAACGCGTGAAAAGCAAAAACGAATACGCGTCATGGATCACTGCCGGTTTTACCCGGCTAACGCTGAGCTAAGGTGGAGGTCGGCTTTTGGTGTCATTACTCTGTTTGTCAGCAGGCTTACAGCCAAACATACAAAGGGCGAATTTCAACAAACCTCCAGCAGAAGCTCAACCCAATTAAAGGAGATTCCGTAAAGTTGAAGTGAATTCCACTGTCCTCTCCAGGTTCACTTCTAGCTTCTCAGCTAAACAAATACACAACCAAATATATACACTCTGTTGCTACATACATAAATGTCCCTAAGAGTCTCATTTGTCAGATTAAAAGCACTTTTTGAAATTCACCTTAAAGCAAGTATTAAACATATTTTTATGAAGCCCACATTTCTGTTTTTTTAAATAGTTTTTTATTGGTCTCATGTAATATCCTAATTTTTAACTGTGTATCCATTAGATGTAAGTAGAAAATCATCATAATAAGGATAAATTATGTATCTATTTTCTCTTTTCTCTCTTTCTACCAAAAACTAGAAGTTTTCAGTCTGATGCTTTGGTCTCAACTTTTACTGAAGGACAGTTTTGTTTACAGAGACTTCAGAATTCATTATATTAATTATTTTTTATGTTTTATTTTTTAATTTTTTAAGACATTTTCCAGTTCCAGTGTAAAATGTTTACTAGAATTTAAGGTTTATTTGTCTTTGAGAATGTGTTCTTGCATTATCATGCCTTTACATTACATACTTGAAAATGTTCTCAAAACAACAAAATTATCGTTCATCACAATAACTTCTGGAACAACAAAATTTGTTATAACAGGTCTGTGCATACTTTGTAGACTTTGTGCTGTAAATTACGTTTGTTTTTGTGCTTTGATTTTAGTGTAGATGTACATGTTTCAGATTACCCATCTGATAGGTTTCCCCAGTGAGGGACAGTTTTATTCTGAGTGGCTTTGTGTTGGTCTGTCACATAAAGCTTAAATAACATGTATTGAAAATTTGTTGTAATGTGAAAAAAATTGAAGGGGTCTGAATACTTTTGGAAGGAACTGTGTATCAAAAACTTCACTATAATTCAATGCAGCATTATTTTCCACCATCCTACCATTTTTTTTTATATTAAACTTAGCCACGTAGGTTTTGTCTAATCCTGCTGACACTGAAAGCATCCTTCTGCCTTGGCATCTGTTTAATTGAAACATTTGTCTTTTTTTGCATCCTGTATCATGAATAATACATTTCAATAATCCAGTTTAAAAGCTGGATCAGGACAGAACGTCAACACGGCGTTGCTATAATGCAGTATTAGAGAATTAGGCTGCACTGACTACAAGCAGCTTCCAAAACAAGTCAAGTTCACACTAAGGCCAGATGTACAGCACAACATAAAAGATGCATCGACCTGCTGCTCCACAGCTGCGCGGTTACAGCGCTGTAATTCCGCTGTCATATGAATGCAGTCGGCAGCAGATCTGACCTTGGCCCGCATCTTACCGATCATGTCAGAAAGCTGACATAGGTTTGCTGAACACTGCCTCAGGGAGGTTGAGCTCTGCCAGAAGTTTGCAGAAAGTGCAGCTGGTCCAAACTTGCTTCTGATTTGATCGTTCCAAATCAGAAGCGAGAAGAAGTTCATTAAAGTAAGTAAAGTTTTGTCCAGCAAATTAGGTTGAAACCGGTGTCACGGTAATGAAGTGATATTTAGGTTTTTGCCTGGGAACATTGAGGAATGTAAATGGCAGTGAAGCAGAAGGAGCTTTGCATAAAATAAGGGACACAAGTTGTCCACATAAAACAAATATTGGCCTTTGGCTCCCCACAGGCCAAATCTGGCAGTTTAGTTGTGTTCGACCAGTCAACGTCAAAAATGTGTACCAAACACGCAAAAAGTGTTTAATACTGTCCTGAAACCATGTAAAACTAGTTTAATATTCAGAATCCACATATAGTAATTAAAGCTACATTATGCAGCTTTTATAAAAACAGAAAATTAGGTGAAATCTTCATTTATTTATTTTTTTTTAAGAATTGCCAGATTGATACAGACCTATACAAAAACATAAATAAACACTTGAAGTTGAATTTGCAGTGGAAGTAGTTTTGCAAACATATTGACTCAGGAATAAAACTTTTACACGCCACACTTTTCAGCTTTTGTACTCATAGAAGAAAATACACCAACATGACTAAATATAAAAAAAGCCCAATTTGTAAAAATCCTTTTGCAAATAAATATAAACACCTTCTACAAACCAGTAAAATCTGCTCCTTTATTTCCTCGTGTAACTGCAGAAGGATTAGGGATGATGTAAAGGTTATCCTCTATTTTTGTTTTGTTTTGACGTTTTCCTCTACATAGCTGAGGGGAAAAAAAATCAGCATTTAACCCCCGGAAATCTTCTGCGGGTAAGAGAAGTGATTTGGCCTTATCTCACGTGTTTCCCCCCAAAACAATTCTCAAAAGAGACGCTGGAGTGATGCAAGAAATGTCAGTCAATATTTACAACGCCGCGGTTATAAATATACACTCCTGCACCTTAAGCCTCCACTCTTGGTAATTGTTTTTAATTTCGAGCAACACTGCTTCCACCTAATTATCTAAATGAGCTGAAGAGGTTCTGATTAGTGACAAATGACTTTTAAACACGCTCAGTCTGAATGTGTCTGAAACAGCACTCCATTAGCCAGGTGCTATGGCAACTGAGATAAAGTAAGCAGACTCAAGTGAGGAAATGAAAAGAGATATTGTTCTGACAATTGACACTATATATATATATATATATATATATATATATATATATATATATATATATATATATATATATATTGCATAAAATAATATGTATATATATACAGTGGAAAAGGAGATCTGCGACTCACCGTACGACTCATATGACTCCCCGCTGTGTCCATATTCATAGTAGTCATCTGAGCTGGAAGCAGACAGGAAATGGAGGTGAATATCAGGAAATAGGGCGCAGAACAAATGTAATATATTGCAATTTAAAAATAATGTTCATCTTCCCTTACTATGAGGATAATTAATTGTGCAGCTGCATAAAAAAAAGAAAAAAAAAACCTACTTTACATCATTTAAAACTTTGTAAACGTACAAGACAATTTCCTCCCCCATAAGCTTCTACTTCTATATTGCTACTTATGGAGACGTATGAGGCGTGGCAACATTAATATAAAGTTTAAAAAAAAAAGAGATGGGGCACGAGTTGCATAGCAGTTTATTTCTCTGCTTGTTTATTTTATTTTTTCATTTTTGCGGTCGTCGGTGAGGCGGTGACAGAACAATCCTGCATCGACATCACTCGGTAACAGCGCTATCATTCAGGAGAGGCAATTCATCATAAGGCTGCCACTGAGCCGACAGCAGCCATCACAGCTGGGTCCTCTCCGCCTGCCTGTCAGTCACACTGTCAGCGATAGCAGCACCTCTCTGCTCCCCAGATTAGAGAGCTGAAAGCGTCATTCAACCCCCTCCCCCCCAAACCCACCAAACGCCAAGTCGACACCGGCTGACTGCTGAGGGCAAAGAGGTGACAGCTGTGACACCACAGAACTAACAAATTATTATTTTTCTCCTCCCTCCACGGTTAAGTAGCTGTTTTTAGGACTGTGAACCTGAAAGGCCAAACGGCAATAAGAGGCTGAAGAGAAGCTGCTTTTCTCCTGCAGGTTTATTTTTTATTGGGAAATGCATGTGTGAGAACTGAACGTCATCTGTACGTCATAAGTGAAATATATAATATATTGGAAGATCAATGATCAGCCGATGCTTACACGTGAAGCCGATCTTTTCCACCGATCTTATCTACATCAGCAAATGTCTAAAAATCAACCACTGTCCTCTGTTGCTTTGGTTAACAATAGTCACCCAACTGTTAGCATCTCAGTGGGGTGAGTTAGCAACAGTCCGGACAAAAGAAACTAGTCGGCCAAAATCAGAATCGGCAGGTCAGGCGTTTTAAAGATCAAAAATTGGCAATCAGCAAGAAAATTTCAACTGGTGCACCCCTAGTGTTTGACAAAACACAAAACCAGTTATTTACATTTTCTAATCAATGAACCACAAAGTGAAGGCATTTTTCACAACAGCCGTGTTTCATATGTTGGTATTTGTGTAAATATGTCACTGAATTATTTTTTGGAACCACCATTTACCTCATCTAAAGTTTATTGACTCAAAATGAATCCCACTTACTTAGCTCATCAATAAATTATTAAATTTATGTATTAAAAATTACATTTTACAGTTGAACAAACACTACGTCCTAGACATTTTGTACTTTTAAAAAAAAATATTTTTTGGCTCTAGTGGCCTTTATTTGATAGTTAATTGACAGGAAAGTGGGTAATGAGAGAAGGGGGAAGACATGAGGCAAAGGTCGCCAATCAAACCTGCGACAGCTGTGTCGAGGACTAAGGCCTCCATATGTGGGTTGTGCTTAACCCCTGTGCCACCACAGCACACCCTAGTACTTTTGCAATTTAAGAATTTTTTGTGTCCAGATTTGTGGGACACATTGAGGCCATCAGCCGCAGGATATTTCTTGCTCACTAAATGTTAATTGTTACCTGACTGTGGAACGTTTTGTTCACTTTTTTAATGCCAGTCTTTTGTTTCTGTTTGCTAACAGACTGCTGAACTGAAACGTGGTCGTGTGATTTGAATAACAAATCACAATCAGGGGTCATTTTTTCAAACTAGACAAGAGCTAACTAGTCCAAACAGGCATCGGAATCACAATCAACTAAGTGTAATATAAATTAATGGTACGCAATTTAATTCAACACATATATAAAATATTTTATTAATTCCAAAGGGGAAATTAAATGTTGCTGTAAGTCATGTTATTGAATTTTCTTTGAATTTTTGTAGACTCATGTCTGTGGGCAGCAACACGGCTTTCCTGTAGCATCCAGTGTTACAGCAGTTCTGAAGAAGCCTCTGACTGACACACTGTATAACAGTCTCATGAAGAGGATACTCTGGATTGTCAGTAATATTTTTCATTTGGAAAAAATATCCAGTTTCCACAGCAGTGTCCAGAACAAAACCAGCCTTCATTAGTAGATTGTGAAGCTTCTTTTAGTCATTTGCTCTGATGCTGCTACCTCATTAAATCACATATGAGATTTGAGCATTTCATTTTAATTTACGATCATTATTCATAAAACAGAGTCAAAGGTACACCCAAAGCTCCAGTACATGAGTTCATAGTTTCAAAAGGAATTAAGATGGAATAAAATGGCAGCAGCAGGAACCAAATGGGGGCAGAATCACCACATTGGTTCCAACATTTGTTTAGCGAAACAAAAACAAGCTCAGCACCAAATAACACCATAAAACAGCAGGGTTTTTTGTCATCTTTCAATAAATTATAATGCAAGATCCTACATAGGTCACTGAACTCAAGAACTAAAGATGTGAATCAGGTAAAAACAGAGTGCTGTTCTCCTGCCAAGGTATCATCGTAAAAAACAAGACCAGCTCCCGAGGCTCCTTTAAGAGACAGGAGAGGTAGAGATGGAGAAACATGTAAATGTGTGTTTCAGCTCATCACGCTGCTCACCCAGAGACGAGACCTGACAGGATGCTCAACAATTAGACCTCACATTCAGCTAAAATGGAGTAAATTCCAGAGTAGTCATTAAAATGAGCATCATCTTCATGAGCGACAGTAAATCAATTTGTTGCAATTCACAGGTGCTTGCACACACGTATTGGAGAATTCTCAGCTTTCCTCTATACTACACCTCTGTCACATTCTATAAAGCTATAATATAGAGATCCAGATTTTGCAATCCAATCCAAGATGCTGCACCACACTGCCATTTGTACATCATTTATTTTGCCGTGTTTAGAAACGGAGCCTAACTTCCTGTGAGGAAATAATTTGTTTCGGCCTGCATGTTGAAATGTCAGTAATGGCTGTGCTGGGAGCTTCAGGTCTGGACATGTTCTAACCGTCAAGAAATTGAACAGCAGAAGCTGTTAGGCCCCTCTAATTTCTGAGGTGACATTTTGTCAATATTGCAACATAACTTCTCGGCATAGCCACTTTCTCCTTTCAATTACAAGTTGTGAGGTGAATCCTGAAGGTCAAAGAGTCCTGGAAAACCTGCTTTGGGAAGCTAAAAGCTTACAGTTTAATTTGAGAACCTGCTGTACACTTAGCTGCTCAAACCATATCAGTTGTTGTTTCTGCTTAGAAAAGTATGTTTTGTCTTTCACTTTGTGTATGATGTTATTCTAATTTTAAAATGGTTGATAAAAATGTAAATACATTTCACTTTGAGATAGGCCACAGAGAGACACAGCAAAACAGCAAGCTAATTCAGCTTGAGAACCCGAGGCAAACCTGGGCTATCCTCTCCACTTAACTCTTTATCTACATGTTTGAGTTCAGCTACCCTATGTCGAAAACTCAATTAACCCTCCTCTATCTATGATCTTGTTCTTTCAGTCATAAGCCAATGACTTATGATGTCTTATGGTCCATATGTGAGGTCTAAAATAGACAGATTGGGAAATCAAGAACTTCACTGATTGATTCCGTTCTCTCTTCACCATGCTAGACCTGTTGACAGAACACCGTCCTTCATTTTCCTGCTCAGTCCTTCTATCACTCACAATGAACTTGTGATGATTTCCTCCTTTGCAAACTCAAAGTCATCTGCGTACATTTTTAGTTTTGCTGTTTTTCTATTGAAAGAAACTACTGCCAGAACACCTGACCATCCACTGGCAAAAAATACTCTGGCACAAATAACCACGACAAGCAAAACAAATGAGCAAATATGTGTGCATACCCACAAACTATGTGAAAAACTTAAAGAAATAAATAGTCTTGACCACCTAAATGTCTCACTCTCACACAGCACACAATGCAGTATAGATGAATTAACAAGTTAAGGGAGTACAGCCGGCAGCATGGACTTGTCTGAGGAGAGACGCCTGTGGTGGATCTCAGGAGAGATATCATCCTGCCATAGGTGTGAAAGAGCTTTGCCTTTCTAAATAGGTCAGCTTTTGATTTGACATTCATTACCAGAAGGAGTCTGCTGCTTTGAGTCTCCCCAGGCCAAGAAAAAGGAAAAAAGATTGGTCGAAACCAGCACGACGAATAAAAAGCCGATGCCTATTAGAAATGTGTGTCTCCTTTATCAGACATGTTAAGTCCAGGCCAACTTTTCCTCAGGTAGTGCATCTGTCATCCGGGTAAATGCTTCATCTGAAGCCCTGATGTTGCTGTTGGAGGGCGCCATGAAACATGAAACAGATGGCGGTGTTAAATCTGAATGATGTAGAGCACATCCCTCACGGACTTTGCTTTCTAACATCCTCATTACTCTTCCACTCCTCTGTGAGAAATCTGAAGAAATCTAGCAGGACATTTACGGGAGACTTCAGGTGTAATGTAGGATTGGTCTAACACGGCGAGAGCAGCTTCTATTTTGTTAACCCATTTTCTGCATTTTTACACACTTTACCTCCTCATCCCCAAGAATCCCGAAGCCAAAAATATCTCCTTGACACTTCCTGTGTGATCGTATTTTTTTCCCCCTCTATTCATTCAGCAGAAATGTTGGAGAAGTAAAATGCTGATGAAAACTGCCCCACACTGAATGCTCTGATTATACCAGCTCAGTGATTTCTGCCACAGATAACATTACAATGGGAAATAGAAAAAGGCAAAAGAAAGAAAGAATGCTACAGTTTATTCCCCTTCACAATTTTGCCTGAAATGAAGCGCATGTAATTTCCAAAGAAAACCTTCGTTATGGATACACTGGTGATTGCTCGGTGTGCTGGCTGATTGCCAGGCTGTCTCCAGCACTGACCCCCTACTGGAGAGACACAAAGAGGGACAAAATGGCCTATTGCAAATGAATTGACTTTCCAAAATAAGTCTCCCTT